CTCCTGTGTTTGGCCATAGAAGAAGTCCATTGAAGTGCATGTCATTTTTCCTTTAATTTGAATGGAAAATATGGTTACTGCTGCAGATTTAGCCAGAAGATTTCCAGGCAAGGCAGAAATCCTCAGGGAAGGATGTCAATCACAACATCCAGAGGCTGAAGAACACGTGAAGGGGGCAACGGCCATGGAACAGATCAGGGCACCAAACAACGGTGAAATGAGACAAATGAGCCTTCCTCTTTCCAAACCCAAAATGTCCCCGCAAGCTCTGTACCTTCTCAGCTGGCCCATCCAAGGCACAGCTAGCAGGGGTGCAGGTCCTGGCAGCAGCAGAGTCAGAAACAGGGAGACAAAACAAGCCACTCGTCAGCACATAGCACTGGGTCAAAACGAATAAATCCTTGATGGGATTGAGATAGCTTACACGAGCTCCCAGGGGCTTTGCTGACAAGGCAGAGCACAGAAAAGGTAACCGCACATCCAAACAAAAGGGCTATTTCGGCAGGTGGCCTGCAGCATACGGCTGTCACCGCCAGCTCAGGCAGCGTGCCGTCGTGTTAGGAGTCAAGCAGCCGCAGAAGGACAAATGAAGGAATAAGTGAGTGGCATCAATCCCCCCCACTTTCCCACCTCAAACTTGTTGTCTCTCCTGAGCTGGTCACCCACACCTTCATGGCTGTCACACACTCCTAGCTTTGGCGAGACCACATGCGAAGAGGACTTCTCCATCTAAGCGTGCTATCAAGATAACACCTTGAACTCTTGCTGCTGCTGACAGTTCCTGTAATGCTGCTCTGTTTCCAGACATCTTTCTTCAGAAGGTGATTCTGCTTTTCCTTTCTTGGGTATTCTTATCATGTCGTGTGCGTGCTGGGCTGTCTTCAGCTCTCATGAACACAACCAGGCTTCTTTTTTTTTTCCTTCCCTGACAGCAGCAAGGGGGCTGCTGAATGCAAAACAGTCTCCTCTGAGAATTCCCTTGCCAGGGCCTTCTGATGATGGGCCCGAGATGTGTTACTTGTATGACCTGATTAACTTGTTAACCGAGATGTTGTCCTAAGCAGAACCTCGTAGAAGCAATATGTACTCAGAATAACATAAGCCAGAAACAGAAGCATGAATCTGAGCGCTGCACCCAACGACTAATTTCAAGAGGGTTTTTCATGAAGGAAGCCCCTTAGAAAATGCAGCTACTTCTGAAACACAACATGTGAAGAAGAGGCCACCAAAAAGCTAACTCAGCCAGCACCAGCAGCGTCAGAGCCCCTCTGAAGTGCCAGCCAAATCTTCCCTCTTGTACTGGATGGACATTTCCCGAAATGTCCATGTAATTTTTTCCTGTACATTTGCTCTCAAAGATCAGTCCTTCCAACTACATCCTGGAAGGAAGCACAGAGGAACAGCTTGTTCCCTTGATCTCGTCTTGGTTCTGCCTTGCTGAGTGTTATTGCTCCTTCAGCTTTGCCAAAGCATTGCTGCCTGATGTAAAGTGCGATTATAGGTCTTACTTTTCTGGAAGTCAGACATGAAATCATCCAAGCAATGGTTCTGTGGTTTACAAAATAGCCTAAATCATCTCTTCTTCCCGAGCCATGTATCTTACCAGCCACCCAACCCCTTTTTGTTTTAATGGGGTTTCCGCATTCAGGCCTGGCTACACCGAGATGGATGGTTCGGAAGGTGGCAGCGTTTTGGCTGCTCCACTGAGACTGTCGGTAATTCCAATTAAATTGGACTTTGGTTAGGTGGGTATATTCATCATTTGCAGTGTGACAACAACACCTGTAATTACTGCTCTTATTGTTGTGGCTGAAATTCATGTGCAATAAAGGGATCTTAATATCATGCCAAACCTCACAGTTAATTTAGGTTCCATCTCCTTTCATTTATTCTGTAATAAGCTAATTAGTTCACATAATTTGCCATTGAAGTTGCCTTTGTAACAAATATATACATGAATTAGGCTATTATGCAACAAATGAGGGGAATCAAAACATCAGTCAATTGCAGGATTACATAAGGAATTATTATCCTTTCAAATGCCCATGGATGCAGCCATTGTCTTTATTGCTTTAAGATTTTATTATTTCCACCAGGTTAGTTCTCATGTCTGATGCCTCTGACTTAACTTTTCTGCTTGGGAGGACAAGAACGCATTTCTGTTTAGCATGCCCTGCTGCCACGTGACGGGTTCCTTGCAAGTCCAGGATCACCACCATGATGTTCAACGTCTTTCAGCTTGGCTGCTTAAATCCAAATTCTGGGAGCTGGAAGAGCTTCGTCATACTGCTAGCCTCCTGCCTTGGCACACTATTTGCAAGGACAAAGTTTTGGAGTGGAGACCTTCAGCTTTCCCTGTCAAAGCCTGCTTTTGGTTTTGTTTGCACAGCAGCGAACCGCGCCCTTGGACACTCTTGGGCACGGCTTGCAGTCACTGCGCTTGGAAGCTTCCTTCTGAATCTCACCTGTGGGGCTCATTTCACCAACCTCCCTTCCGACAGCTCTTAAACCATGCTAGATTTCCAACTCATTTGGGATAAATTATGAGGAATGCTTTGCCCAGCCGAGTCCTAAGACTGCCGTTATACAAACGGGAGGCTTGCCAGACCTTGAGGTTCAGTCCACCGTTACAGCTCTTGCCAAGTACCACGTATTCAGTATTACCCAGAAGGGACGAGGACAATTGCACCCGTCTCATCCAGAACACAGCAGAGTGCTTTCTGCCCAGGAATCCAATACCAATTCACAGGGAAGCTCCTGAGCTACTAAACCCATCAGTTCTACTTTCTGCACTACTTACCTTGAGGCCTCATCTAACTGCTGACCTGGTGCTACCCAGCTTCAACTATTAAATGTGATGAGAGCACAACTCAATCACTTTATTTGTTAAATGTTCTCTGCTTACAGCAGCTTTGATTTAGCATCCAACCTCTTGCAGTAATGATTTATTCTTTCCATATCAAAGCTAAGCAAGCACCTTACTCCCAACAGCTGCCTCTTTACCTGAAGTTATATTGTTTTCAACTTCTAGAAGTGAGTAGTTCTAAAACAAAGATGTAAGAATAGTTTTTGGCTGGAAATACTCTTTAGCATTTGGACAGCCTAAGCAGCACTAAAACCAATCACAAAGCTCCTGGCAGCTGCCAGAATGATCTATGGATACAATTCCAACCTCACCAGACACTCTGCTCTGCCCAAAGGAATCGGTTGAAGCCTCTGCTGTGGCCGGTGTGTTCTTCCTGGCTTAAAACTTCTCATTTTCAGACCGAGAAAATGAAATACCAACATGAAATGAAAACTTTCAGCCTGCAAAAAGGCTCAGGAAGTAAAAAGGCAGCAGGACTCCCCCGAGAAGCACCTGCTCATTTCCAACGCACCGGCGCGGGCACTCTGCGATGCACTGCCCTCTGCCCTTTCTCTGGCGAGAACATCGCTGCCCCGTGCTGGGAGCCAGACGGGACCCCCTGGGCACATCCATCAAGCTCTGTCGAAGAACTATGCGAGAGCAGAAAAAGGAGAATACAAGTGCAGCCAGAGGCTTGTCTACCATTCTTGCTTTGATTTCCCTCTTTCCTTTACGCAACACTCACTACCAGTCAGGAATATTCAAAATTACTATGGCAGCTCCTCTCTTCACATACTAATTCCAGAAAAGAATCTAAGCATTTTAAAAAACATAGCCTAGCAGACACTATTTCCATTAAATTCAGTAACAGTCGCACTGCCTTTTGGACTTCTGAAAATTGTTCTAGTGGAATTACATTAATTAATGCACAGAGGAAAATGTATGGAAATAATAGGCAGGATATTCCTCAACAAGTATTATATCCTTAAATCACAGGGATTTCGGGATCTGTCTGAACCCTTCTGGGTTTGGTTTTAAGCCTCTGACACCAGCAGCACCGTGATTCAAGGTGTGTTACTGTGACAGCATGAGAGCAAACAACATGCTCAGTGCAAGCAATCGCCCCTTTACAACTCCCAGATGAAAACTGAAAGTTATTAAGTTCATATTACGATATGAAACTAGCAGGAAATTCATAAATGAAATTTAGAGTTCTGAATGAGTAATTATTCATCATTAACAAAACTAAAAGGAGAACTACTACTCTTTTAGGAACAGATGTCACCTACACTTCAGGAGGACTAAATAAAACAGAGCGTCTCGCCAAAAGCATAGAGAAATTTGTATTAAAAACTGAAAGTACAAATTAAACATGGAAATCTGTCCATGGATCATTTAAAATAAGCTAGCCCTAAGAGACCACAGCCTCGGGACTGTGCAGATGAGCCATCCAATGTGCAGAGGTACAAATGCTTTGAAAACGTTTCAGTTGCTGGAGTGCTTTTGTCACCTGTATAGGCTCCCCCTGTCCGAGCGAGAAGCACTTTGGTCTCTAGCGAAGAACTATCCAGGTGTGGATGAAGAGAGACTCAAATTTCTTGTGAGCAGGATCTCTTCACAGGTATTCCGGCCAGAATGGACCATTAGGATTATTCCCATTACCTTTAGGATTATTTCTTCCTCCCTCCAGCTTGCCACGCTAACCAGTACAACCCTGCAATTCTGGAATCAAGCCCACACCATGCCATCCAGCTAGTGCCTACATTTTAGAATGGTATTAAGACTCACTTAAGGACTTTGACAACACTCTCCATTTCCTGATACTACAGCAATGAAGACCCTAACTCTCAAAAATCCCTGGGATTTATACAGGTCTGATTTACAGCGCTAGAACTTGCCACACTTTTGTCTATCTCAAGTATTACTTCCCCCCGCTCTTCTAATATGTACTGAAAAAACCCAGCTGTTCTCTCCAAATGCTCTCTTGCAACATTTGTGCAGGTTATTGTCTGATTCATTTACTCAATATGTCTTTATTTGCAGTTTCACACAGGTGCAAGCAAATTCCTTTCTCCTCCGATGCATCTATCAAAATCTTTCCAAGCAAGAAATTACAAAACAAAAAGAAACGGAAAAATCTTTAGGAGAGTCCTACCTGAAAAATAGCTATCCAGGCATATCCAATATTATCAAAATTGATAGCTCCGTTGTGTGGGTTTACATCCCCTGCCATGCATACGTTGTAATACTGGTTCCAGTTTATCCACCTTGTACTCCTTCCTGGTTGGGATGTTGGAGCATTTCTGCATGCCGTTTTCACGATGCGATGAGCAGATGAACGGGTTCTCCTCCGCTTCGTCTGTCTGGTAGTACGGATGCAGGAAGGTCAGGTTGTACGTCCTGGAGGGGGAAGAAAGAGAAGGATGAGAACTAACGATGCGCCCCTTGTTTCATCAGCAGCAAAGGGCGCTGGTTCCTGTCCCTGCTTGGGTGTGTTATTTCTCCTTTGCCCTTCAGCCCCATCAGACTGCAGCAAGCCACAGTCGAGACATCAGCCCCTACCTTTGTCTACAAAGCTTTTTGCTTACAGCATCCTGTAAGGCATCAGCGCTCCTTCGGTTAAAGATCAGCCTGAGCTTTCCCAAGCAAAGAGGGCAGTTGGAAGTTGAAATGAGAGGGTAGAGAGGGAAAACATCCCAGCAGGCCAGGTGCTTCCCAAAATCTAGGGAACGTTGCTTCCATCGAAGGATTTTAAGATAGCTCTTCTGATGCTCAGAACACGCTTCAGAAAAGCTGATGGCAAAGCAGCTTTCCCATAAATTTGCCCTTCAGCACATCTCCAGGATGACCAAGGTGAACTTTAACAAGCAGAGACCCAGCCACAGGCCATCTCAAATTCCTTCTGTACTTACATAAGAAAAGAAAGAGCCCACATTAATGGAAACTGTACACTTACTGCCTATCTGATTTAATTGGCCTGGATAAAGTTCATGGCTCTGTTACAGCAAAGATAAGCAAGTGCTGTAATTGCAGCATGGCAGGGATGTGCCTTTTCCCAAGCCGTGCTCTGGGGCAGGTCAGTGAGCAAGCAGAGTCCAGGAATTCTCCTGCTGTTTGATTAGAATTGGTGAGACCCAGTGGCACTCACTGCTGAAGCACCGCTCAGAAGGAGAAGGTGCAGAGTCCCAGAGCTGACACTCTGGTGTGTTCAGAGGTGCAGGGACCTAAGATGCTATATAATCAGTCAGGAGATAAGGGAAACGACAACACACAAATTCTACAACCCAGTGAGTTGCGGGTAGAAGATAAGCAGGTAATTCTTCAAGACAGGACAGATGTTTTTTTATCTATTGCTGAATGTACCTAATTATTGAATAAATCTGGCTCTCATGGGTGTCAAACTAGTGTTATTCCACACAATCGCTTAAAATTGCTCCTCAAAAGCCTTGACTCAAGCAGGAGTCATTCAGCAACTGCACTTTAAGGAGACAGCAATTGCTGCAGGGCAGAGGTGGGGGGGAAATTAACCCTGCACAACTTTCTTGAGGAATTCGGTTCTCCATCAGTGAATTACTTGAGATGGGTGTTGACGGTTCATCCAGCTTTGGGGACAGGCAAGAGTAGCACATCAGAGGAACTGGGCATCGGTCACCGTTATTCCCCTCCCGTCGCAGTGTTCCCACACCTCTGGACACAGCTGTAGTATCTTCCTCCCAGTTTCTATGCATCAGATTCAAGAGTCAAGGAAGAAACTTGAAACATGTTTTTCCTCCAGGACTGCCCGAAAGCCTTCTCCTCCCACGAACTGGTTTCACTTGGAGGAAATTTCCATTTAAAACAAACTGAAGAAAAGGCAGAGTGCTACGCTAGCACGGTGTTTGCTAGGAGATCAGATACTACAGCCAGCAGAGTTTGTCACACGGAGGGGATATCGTGGAAGCTTGTGAAGGATTAAAATGCACCGAGGCGCAGGGCTGTGCCTGGGACTGCTACAGGCTGTGGGCAAAGACGGCTGCGGAACTTCAGAGAAGAAACAGAGGGAGGCAGAGAAGAGACACCCGAGAAGTGACTTCTCCTAACTCACAAGTGACAGGCAGAGCCCTGGCAGCTCTGTTTTGGCATTAGTGGGTACACCGAGAGGGGCTGAGTTCAGATGCTAACGGCTCCTGTACCCTCAGATAAATGTGGTGGGGACCCCCCCACACCTGGGATATCTCAGACAGAGAGGTGCAGGGAGGGCTTTGCACCTCCATGAGACACAATGCAGCCCAGGGCAGAGTGATCCCAGCCCCACCAGCCTCGGCAAGGACATTTTCTTCTAAAACATCCAGGTTTGAGAGGCCATGGGTGCATTTCTCACTAGCCTCCTCCCACGAAACTCAATAGCAGGTGCTCAGTAGCTCTGAAGTCTTTCACATGGGACATTGGGATCAGGGCTTTCCACACGCTGTGGTGGTGACGGGGGTCTCACACCCCTGGAGCCCAGCCCAAGCCTGCACTAGGCTGTGCATTGCCTGATACAGCAACGTAGCATGGCCACAGGACTCTGAGGTGTGACCGGCTTCCCAGGGCTGACTTCACCACTCTTGAAACCAGGACTTTGTGGGTTACAGGCAAAGAGCTACTCTAAGTCCCTAAGATGGTGGCAGGAGAGGTCTCATTTGGTACCATCTCATCAAAGCACCTGGACCTCCAGCCCAAGCTCAACAGACCTCTGCAGTTCTCAAATCCCCAATGTGACAAGTCATGCAAACTCAAAACTTTGTCTGTCTGGGCAGCTCAAAGCCCAAACCTGGTGCTTGCAGCAGACAGCCACAGGGGCAAGTCTCAGACAGTAACCTGCAACCCTAAAGCTACTCTTTGAACTCCCAGCCCTGCAACAGCCTTGTGTGATCTTGCGAACATCTCTTGCTCTTTCTTGTTTCCCTTCAAACCATGCTGACCAAGGCTCTTTGATCTGGATGTGCCACTCCAGCGACCTACTCTTCCAAACTACCACTGATCATCCAGGAAAACTTGCTCCAGAGCCAGGCAGAGCTGTGAAACTCAGCAAAAACTTATTTCCTTCACCACCCTGGAAGCAACACCCCACCACACCACCAGCAGCAGGAGTTCCCCGATCGCAAACGCCTTTTGGCAGCGGGCAGGAGGGGAAGGCTCAGCGCACCGGAGCTCATCGGCCAGTGTAATTAGGATTCTACCCAGAGCAAAGCTGGCCTTGCAGAGAGAGATGGACCATCTGGAGGGATGATTGTGTAATTAGCAGCTATGGCTGCACAAGCTCCTTTCCTGGGAGCAGTTTTGTGTTTAGATGCAGACACAGACGTGCCCGTGCCAAGAACACTGACCATGGAAACAGCGCTCAGACAGAAGGGCTGATGAATTGGTGGGATGCTCCGCTCCGACCTCACACTCGAGGTCCCCTGTGAGCTGCCTCTCCCACTGTGGCACAATATACAACATCCAGCACCACACGCGACTCCGCAGCTGTCTGCCCTCCCAGCTGAAAGACGCCGACACATGTTCATTGTCCCAGATTAATTGTCTCCATTGCAGCCCACAGAGCTGACCTCTGATCTCCTGATATGCCCACCCCAGCTGGACAGGCTGGACTGGGACACAGCTAGCCAGAGAGCAGCGTGCCAGGCAATTCTGCTGGAGCCCACGCACCCAGTTTCACTGGAGGGAAGGAACGCAACCAGGCTGGGGACCTACAGGATCAATCCCCCTCCCACACAACGCTTCTCTACTCACTACACATTGCAACTGGACAAGCCTTTGATAAGCACCACACACAGATCTGGGAGGCAGCATCTTTCCCAGGAATCTCCGTTTCAGAAGCCTTGGGCTGAAGGAGAAATACTGCCTGCAGACACACTGCCCTCGGCTGTGATCTACTAAGCTGCATAGAGAAGATCTGGGCACAAACCTTCTGGAGAACCAGAAGAACACCACACTTTGATGGCTGTGGGAGGAAAATAAAACCAGGAAGACAAAGCACAGCTTGACTGCAAAGGGTGGATGAAGTTTGATTTGGTTCTGCTGCTGCCTAGATGATTTATCCTCCCTTTTCTCTGCCTTGCTCATATCTGCAACTGCCCCCCCAAATAATTCACAAGCTAAAAGTCTTCCCTGTGACAGGCCAAAATCAGTTGCATGGGGATCAATTTGCCCAGCCCTTTCCTGGGCACAGAGACACCACGAGCATCCGTCCGGCTGGAGGGACCCGCGCCAGCACGATGCTCTGCCACCACCGAGCACAGTGGGGAAGGGACACACCAACTGCAAATTTAAGACCTTTTTCTGCTTCCTCTGCTCGATGACCCTGCTGGCAAAACCAAAAAGGGGAAAGAAGGAAGGAGAGCAAGAACAAGAAACAACAGGCTTGCAGAAGGAGGGAATCCCCAATATCCACAAAAGAAATGAATTCGCTCTGCCACACAGGAAAGGTCAATCTGCCTTCCTTGTGACTTGCCAACGGGTATAGTCCAAATAACTTAATGGTAATGAATCCACTAAGCATCAGACCCTAGTGCTCTGGGGAAAAGACATGAGAAACTAAGCCCCAGAATGGATCTTGTTATCACATTAGAAAGGATTAACGCCCCTTTCTCGGCCCGCTGCCCAGTGCACATCTTCCTCCATGCCTGCAGCAGCTTGCAATGTGTTTTTCTTAATGTCCCTGGGCACGTTCAAGTGCAGGAAGGACAGTAGTGGGGCAGGAAAGCCCATTCTGTCCCACGTCAAAGGAGGCTGAACAATTCCCCTCTGCTCCATCTTTCCCAGGCCCCAGCCATCCCATGCAGGACATCACCCACAAACTCTTGAGTATGGTGTGTGTGCACTGAGCACAGTCCTGCTACAGCCTTCTGCTGAGTAGCAGAGGAGGAAAGGGAACCGGTGGAGGAACCTCAGCACCAAGCAGGATGCGTTCCCTGCAGAGGAGGCTGCTCTCTGGAGAAAATCCTGCTGACAACCCAGCGTTGCAGCACAGAGCGATGCCAGGAGGAGCAATTAAGCAGAACTCAGGAGTACCTTTCAGACAAACTCTGAGCTGTCTGCCTTGGCCGTCTGTGCCTTCTTGCAGCTCTAGAAAAGCCAAGGAGCCGAAGGCAGTACAACGCCAAGCAGGTATGGAGTTAATTAAGACTGACGTGCTCACATTATAACTGTCCTGCAGCATTAGATAAATACAAAGCACTTCACAGCTCTCTCCCCTCTCCTGCTTCCAACCCACTGAGTTCCTTGAAAGGCTCCACTTGGGGAAAAAGCTCCCCTGCATAGCAACGCACAAGCAAGGAGCAGCTCCAGCAGCAACAACCCAGACAAGCTGGGGGTGACCCAGTTCCTTTATTTACAGTGACAGCAGCTCATGATGGCAGGAGGGAGCCAGAGGGGCTGCGTGGGGCAGACACACATCCTGGAGATCTCACAGATAAACCACTAGCTTCACTTGCCCTTCCCACGCATGCATACCGAGCCTTCCTCTCTCAGACCACACCAAAGAGCCCTTGTGATATTCCCCCTCCAGCTCGCACTGGCAGGGATCTCCTGCTCTCGCTCCCATAGTGGCAGAGACCATCGCGGCATTGCTGGTCCCCACTGCTGCCCAATTCCAGGGGAAGCACAGTCTGGGCAGCAAGCTCCCTGGGGCTGAAAGAGGGGTCTGAGCCACCAGAGACCTCTGAAACACTGGTGACTGAGCCACCAGAGACCTCTGAAACACCACTCTGGTCTCCAGGGTTGGCCGGGGAGCCACAGCTTCTCACACGGCCCGAGCAGCAGTGACCCACTCCAGTTCACCGCCTGCCAACCTGTTCCTCCAACAGCCCAGTAACTGCCTGCAATTCCTTCAAAGTCACTACTAAAAGAGAGTCCTTAATAAAACAACCTCCTTCCAGGATGATTCTGCATTGCAACAGTGCAATTTTCAAAGAGAGAGAAAGCAGATATTTCCAGCGCACCTCAAAGAAGTTCCCAAATTTTTATCAGAACGTACTATATTTAAAAATAGTTTCTTTACTTGAACCAGCCAACTTTCAAGGGATTTAAAAGAAAAGGTTTCCACAGGAAGAATGATGGCAAAATCAAAGTCACTTCTTCCATGTGATGCCTGCAGCAAAGTTGAACGGCCCAGGAAGCTGCTGGCAGCGAGTGTACAAAGACGCACGCAGCAGATAAGAAACTTTATTTGAAGCACCAACCTCTGAGCTCGCTTACACTCGCTTTACTCCGGAAAAGTTTTGGGGCTATGACCCTTCCTTGGCACCCTGGACTGTGTTCAGATGCTCACCCTCACTTTAAAGCAGTTCTGTTTTCATCTGGGGGGGGGGTGACACCGCCACCGAGGCGAGCCCCACCAATAACTCCGGTCTCCCACTTTACGGGGCTGTAAGGAAAAACCTGAGCCAGGACCATCACCTGCTCAGCCCCAACCTGGGTGCACAGCACGCCTGTCCATCCCCCAGCCCCTCACAGCCTGCTGAAGGGCCGGTAAATGTTATTTTCAGCTGATGACAACAACACTGGGATTTAGTGGGACTCCACAGACAAAACTAAATGACCAGAATCTCATTTCTCTCCCGCAGAGCTCTATTCTGTTTACTTCTAACCAAAACCAGAGTTTAACTTTAATCCTGCATCCCCTGGGTGAAGGTTTTGTTGTTGTTCTCTTTGGCAGCTCTCCCTGGAACGGGATGGAAGGTCAGGGCTCTCCAGCACCGACACCGAGCACAACGGCTTGGCGCGGGGATGGCCCACGAGGACACAGTGATGGACCCACTCCAATCCAACCGTGGGATTGACTTCACCTATATCTCCACACTGGCTTACGGGCAGATGGCATCCTGCTGCTGGTTGGCAAGACCTGCTAGCTTGGGCCCAGTTCTGCATGTTTTGGTCCATTTGTACAACAGCAGGAAGATGTAAGCCTGAAGTGCTTCCTCTGCTACTACCAGTCCATGCCTCTTCCCCCACTGTACAACGTGCTGTTGGGGTGTTAATGACCACTGTAGGGGTGAACCATATCCCGATGCCTGGAACTACGGATTCAGAAGAATAAATCCGGAATAACAGAAAAGATGGGATCAGTTTCATCTGGATTCCCCCGAACTTTCACACCAAGCTCCGATCAACCTGGGATAGCTTCTAGCTGGAAATGGAGGGACTGGTTCATTGCAGCCAGGTTTCTCAGGCCTAAAGCTAACCCAGCAAGACACAGACCAAGACAGGAGCTTCAGTCTGGGTGACCATACCAGAGCAACCCGCATTTGTTACGCTGACCCTGGCACCAGCAGAACTGGAGTAGCCCTAGCCTGCAGAGTGGCTCCATGGGCATGCCAGAAACCTCCTGTCTCCAGATTTCTCTGGAATGCTGTAACTTTGTTCACAGCATCCCTGAGCACATGGCATCCAGCAATAGGACTTGGGCACAGACCATGGATGGCCCACAGCCACCCACATTCACCACTATCTGCTGCTGCAGGGGACCCTGCAACCAGCACAGAGCTGCTGTGAAGTGGGAAGGAGATGATCTCCTGCAGACCTCCTGCCTCTTCAAACACAGCTCCTGAGGCTTAGCACAGGGAGCCTGACTTTGCCTTTTGTGACCAGGACCAAGACCCTGATAAGCAAATCCTGCGACGCCTTTGATGCTGCTAATGGTCATTACATAACGGCCTGCTTAATATCTATACTTCGCAATCGCTGCCCCTGTGGTTAATTTTAAAAGCTCCACTTCACAGGAAAATCACACAGCATTTTAGAAACCTGGTCAAAGAGATGAGAGGGACCCACTGAAGCTAATTATGGCTCTGCACTCCTGGTCCTCAAAGCACTGCCTGCGCATGGTCCTTGCCCCATGCAGAATGGCCACCTGAGCCCAGCTTTAACACCACTCTGGGCTTTTAAGTGACAGCTCAGGGGTGAACTCTGAGCAACGCAGGGTCTCGGTGACCAGCAAATACCTGCCGTGGGTGCAGGAGAAAGCTTATGAAGTTGGAGCATCAAGATGCAGGAGCAGAAGCATACACACATGGCAGACTCATCGATTTTCTGCCTTTCAGCATCTCTGATGGGATGAGTAAGTGCCACCAGAGACGGGCTGCAGCGCAGAGAAAGGCTCAGAGAGCCAAAAGCCACAGGGGTAATCAGTGAGAGGCAGGAACGGGTCCTGGGGTAGAGCAAAGGGATAATTTCTGCTTGTTTTCCAGACACAATACAAGTTGTAGACAGCACACGACTACACACAGATATAATCACAGGCTCTATCTTCTCTTACAGAGCTAGAGCTGCCCTCATTAGCTAGTCTCAGGCATTTCCTCACCTCTGAGCCACTGACATCTTCAACAGTCTCTGACAGGAGCCCTTCGGAAGGATTTCCCCCGGCAGACCTCCCTTCTCTGTGGAGGCTTGCAGGCTGCAGTTCATTTTGATATTTTTGTTGTGCTGACGGGTTTTAAGGTGTGCCCTTACATTGCACCTTTGAAGGTGCAAGTGCAGAACAGCCCAAACTCAGCATCTTGCCGATGGATCGCTGGGGAGCGGCAAGAGTGGGACTGTCCCACAGCAGAGGATGAGCCAGGTCATCCCAGTGCCAGCAGCACCCGCACAGACAGAGCCCAGGGCTGGCAGCAGGGTCCAGTCAAAGCCCCAGACATGGCAAGTGAGGAACCAGATCCAGAACCCATCCAGGGAACTCAGGCAGGAGCCAAAGAAACCAGAAACAAAGACAGAGCTGGAGACAGGCACACCAACAGCACAGCACAAACCAGGAATGAGCCACAGGCTGAGCTTAAATAGAGCTCCTGGGCCACGGGCAGGGTGTGGGTTCTAGGTGAGGCTCATCAGGGTAATTAAGGCTTATTAGCACTCTCAGCACCCGGCAGGATGCTGGTGCATGAAACTGCCTAGCTTGGAAGAACTCAAACTAAAGTTTGCATCAAAAGGAGCAGGTGACCAAATGTGCTGCCTGTCCCTGATGCCTGTGCCAGACTGAGAGTGGTGCACAAATGTCTTCAATGCCTTTCACACCAAGCTGCTTATCTTAACACACCGACAAAGATTTATTTGTGTGTTTCGGCAGCATCTCCATGGTGCTGTCTGTATCAGCACGCAGAAGATCTCATCCACCCACTGCCAGGAGGTGCGGTGTGCTCGGTGGCCTCGCAGACCTGTACAGTTTTGGGAGCTGGAAATTTTAGGAGAGCTCTAATGCTTTTGTTTGATCTAAATCCTCAAATTCACAGAGTCAGGGATCTCAGCTTCCTCAGACGGAGATAATCCAAACAACTAACATCCTTGTCCTTCAGCTGGAGAGGAGAAACATGAGCAAGCCACTCCAATCCCTCAGTAACTCATTGACAAATGAAGGTTCTTCATAAAAAAAGTACTTAGCCAGACTCGGAGTCCTGAAGCCAACAACCTTGCGAATGAAGATGACAGCCCCGTTAGGAGCTGCCACTGCAGCTGAGCGGCATGGTCACATCACGCTCTCATCCCCGTGCTGCTGGAGCCGGCGCCGGCTGCCCTCCAGCTGGACGCGAACCCTGCCGACCGCCAGGCCTTCTCCGGCAGGGGAGAGGGGGAAAGGATGAAAAAGGGGAGATTTTTTTTCGCTGTACTTACATTGCAAAATTCCTGTCTAGGAAACACCTGTTTCTCAGCAGCCCTGCCCAGAGCTGCACACCGACAATCCCAAAGATGAAGAAGACAAAGAAGCACAAGAGGAGGACGTTGCCTAACATAGGCAGAGTATCTAACAGCAGGGTGACGAGTATTCGCATACCTGTGGGGAGAAGGAGAAAATGGGTTAGAGGAGCCCTTTGAACTGGGAAAACGTGAATGCCACACCGATCCCAGCTGCGCTCCGGCTTGGTCATGCAGCCAGCGCATCCTGGCTGGAGGAATGGGGATGTTTATGTCTTCCCCTAAACCTTCAGGCTGAAAAAGCAGGTAAATAGTGCAAAAGGCTTAGCAGCACATGGGAACAAACACTTCATCTCCAAAGGGTGGACTTCAGAGTGGGATTTTCAGATGTTTTCAGTAACACAGCACTCACCAACACACAAACATGGGCAAAGCTGCAAGACAGCCTTTCCTGGAGAAACGCCCCCACAAACCATCAACCTCCTAAGAAATTGTCAAAATACATATTTATCAACATATTGAACATCTCTCATGAATCACACAAATTGTTACCCCAAACAATACAGAGCCTTGTGTAGGACGATAGCTGCGACTGCTCTCTGGCCCTCCTCCGTGGACAACTCCTCTTTCACGGAGGACTCCTCTCCTTGCTGGCCACCACCAGCAGCTGAGAGCCATCCCTGCTCCAAAGCTTGCAGGGCTGCCAAGCAGGGGAGGCAGGAGAAATTTTTACTTTTTTGAGGGGGGAAAGCAGGATGCAAGCGTTTGTTCCTCAAAGCAAAGCTCTCAGCTCTGCTCCTTTCCCCTTCTCCTGAGCAGGCTGCCGGGACACCTTCCTGCACCTCTCTGCAGGCCTCCCTGCATGCAGGGGCACCTCTGCTCCCAGGGAAATGTGGATTTCTGTGCAAGATCTTCCACCCTAAATAAGAAGATTGAGGAATGAGTCAACCTTGCAGAGCTTCGGCTAACCCTTGCATCTCCGTCCATCACGCTCCCAGCATTGCTGCTGAGGGGAGACTGGGCAAGGAGGCAGGGACTGGGCTGGCACTGGGGGGCTGCCCTATCTTACACATCAGGGCACCTTCAAACTCAAGGATAAAACAGGTATAAAAAGGGAACACCGACTTGCAGCTCAGTAGTTCAATAGAGGTTAAATGAACCTCTGAGACACTGACCAGCCACCATTTCAACAGCTGATTATTGATGAGAGAAGAACTAATGAAAAGAGGAAGAAACAAAGGCAAATGTTAAATTATAGAAAAGAATAAAACCAGAAACCGAGCCCCAGGAACCCTGTGCTCAGCAGAGAGCACGGCTCAACTTCATGACACGGTGGAAATCAATGCGGCTGCTGGATAAGGCGACACTGCTGCCTTTGGAGGGATTTTATCCCACTAAAATGCTGCTCGACAAACACCTTTTCCTGCCTGCCTGTGTGGGGCCTTTTCTCCTTCCATTTCTCCTAGCAGGATGCTGCTCTCCATCAGCCATCCCATCCGAACAGAGAGCGGCGTTTACCCTGACGCAGTCCCTCTTCCCCCACCGATTTCCACGTCGGCTTCTTCCCTCGGGCAGCTCCCAAGTCACGCCTGATGCCTCTCCTGCTGCTCAGTGACGATGCCGGGCTGCAGCCTGGTACCTGTAGACCCCAGGGATGGGTGCTGGGAGGAGCAGGGTCTCAAAGAGAGGAGCGCTCAGCTGACCCGGCACCTCCCGGGCAGTGGCAGGCAATGCTGGCGGGAGCTGGAGCCCTGTCACGCTGCTTTACCCCCCTTCTTGTGTCACTCTGCCAGCGGAAACGCAGCCCAGCCAAGCAGGGCCGGAGCTGACATTACCTTGTCAGCACAGCACGAGTGGATAAACCACCCCGGCCAAGAAGTCTGCGCTAACAAATAATTAGGTGTGAGTAATAACCTCTGCATCCCAAGGCAAGAGCCTTTCAAGGTCTCCATGCCCAGCTGCATCTTGGCTCCGGCGTGGCTCCCTGCAG